ATAATAAAACACTTGAATGGTCACGATTTCAACTTTAACCTTTGAATGTGTACAGAGCAACCGTGTCATGCTAGCCCACGATGTTCGCTATGACTCAACTGGGCCTAGGCTGTTAAGTTAGTTAGCGATGAATAGCAGGGCAGTGCAGTATTTTGTTACAATTAACGTAACCACAGAAACATTTATTGTATTCTTATTGTCTTTATCTATCAATTTAGCTTGTCTATTGTTTAGGTAAACTAATTATTTTGTTACAATTTGTAAACTGTTGAAATAATAGTGGTGGTCGGGAGCCTGTAAATCCTGGTCGGAAATGTTGAGTGCTGGACGGGCCCGTCCACCGCCGACCAGCGTGGTGACATCCCTGCCATATTGATGAAACCACTTAAAACGCACTGTAAACGCAAGCACAACTGGAGCTGGATTTGCAATGGAACCTAATTTTTGTGATGCCGGGACCGCAACCGGACAAATGGATTCGTAGCTTAAGTTTAAACAGACATCATGAATTGCTATTATTTATAATATTAATAATGTTTTTATAATTGTTGATATTTGGGTAAATACTCAGAAATTTCGATTATTGATTATACTTGACTGTTCTTTACCACAGAGTAATGAAGAACAGGAAACGATTCCTCTGTCCTCCTTCATGAAGAACTACAACAGGCCAAGAGCTAGCTTCTTCTCACCAGCTAGGTTAGTATTGTGTTGTTAGTAAATGAAAGTATGCATTTTGTAATGTTTATCTCTATGGGTTGAAAGTCAATATCATTTAATATTGTGATCCATCAAACTGAACTATATACAAAGATTTCAACAATATCAGTTTAACAAATTATGTAGCATTAAACAATTGTTGGCAGTCATGAATTTGTAGACAGTCTACAAAAATAAAAAATAATGTTTGTTCATGTCAATGCTCACCACCTCTCATCCCTGGGCATGTTTCCTGAATAAAGAGTTGCAAAGTAACCGCTTCAGTAATTTACCTTTATATTGTGTGGCTCCCGCGTAGCAAGTTAATTACCACTCGTAGAAGTATACTGTTTGGTGTATCTTGTAGTCCTTTGATAGCAGTACATGCTTCTTGGTGTAGCTCCAGCCTCCGAGTGCCTTCATCTTGCCAGGCACACTAGGTCGGGTGTGTATCATGCACAGCGGCGGGTTATGCTAATGAGCTGACCGGGATAATCATGCCCTCCAAAGTAGATCAGGGATAAGAACGTACAGGGTTGACACTACAACGCTCAGTCAAATCAGACCAATCATAGCAAAATATATATGACTACTAATAATTATCCTTTGTTGTTGAATATGTAAAACTCAGTATAAGCTGGGTTTATTTGGCTCTGTTTTGAGCATGATGGTTTTGGTATTTTATTTTTAGTAGATGTGTTAACAAATGTTTACAATTTGGAGTGGAGTTTTTTTTTGGAGTAGTAAAGACGCTTGGGTTCAATTCCTTTGACAGCAGGACTATTCCTCATGCCAAAAACCAAATTCACTCCCGAAGCTTCAAAGAAAGACTTGGTTTATAAAGCAGTGTCATGTAGTTGGCGAGATACTCTCTGTTAGATGCAAATTTATTATCTAAGTTTTCTTCACATGCTAATTTGGGTCTTCCATCATTTATTCATATGCCTATTTTTTTATTTATCATTTACTACTACTGTCAAGTCTCCCTCTAGAAGACCCCTCCAATTAAAGGCCACATTTCTGTGGTCCAAAATTAACAAATTTCTTTTACCTGTAATTATGATTATAATTAGAGATCAAAGAAAGACCATGGAAACGCTGGTCCCAAAAGAGGTCCTGTAAAAAGGGAGAGCTGTACTTAGCTAACATTAACTTTTTTATTATCAACACTTCTGTTAATATTTGGCAAGCTAAATGATTTAATTCCGCATAGGATATTTTTTTTTTTTATTGAAATTGAAATCTAATACCAGTTTAACTGTTATGTAATTTGTTTCATCTCTAGGTTGACGCCTGGGCTTTTAGAATCGCCAGGACTTGAACATGATCCTGTTATGAGCTTGTCCCCAATGCGAGGCAAGCTTCAGGGCCTAAAAGAAAAGAAACTGGGTGGTTTTCCTATAAAATTTTTACTCTTTGTGGTAAGTTAGTGTTTGTAATTTTATTTTTCATCTAGGACTATCTAGACATAATCTCTGAGTAATTCAATACTACCCCATTATTTGAATTTCTAAGGTGACGAAATGTCAGAAAATGCAGTTTTTCTAAGTTATAACATGTTTTATGAATGCATGTGGTTTCTGTATTATATTGAGATTGTTAATTTCTATTTTATTGCAGACAAAACTTTCAAAAATATTGGTTCATAAGAAGGATTTGATTCAGAAGTTGCGAGACATGAATGCAGAAGCAGAAAGACAGGTAAATTGATGTAAACTTTGAAGGTTTGCAAGGTTAGGTAACTGGTAAATACTATGCACCTTTCTGGAATGTCAATCAAACTCAAGATGGACGAATCAGAATGTGTTATTCAATATATGAATGGCTAGGAACACACACACAAGTTTAGGTTTACATATTCCTAGTCATTACCCCAATTAATTAAATAACACATTCTGATTGGTCATTCAATAGATGTGGTCACGGCTAGAAATAAACAAAGGTTTAGGTTTACGTATTCCTGACCATTACCCCATCTGTTAAATAACACATTCTGATTCCGAGTCATTCAGTAGGTGGTGATCATGGCCAGAAATACACACACAAGTTTAGGGTTACAACGACCACCCACTCAGGCATGTTTTTTTTTTAATGAATGGCGGTTGTTTTGAGAGACCTTAGCCACAATATAGGCATGGCTTAGCTGAATAGTCCAATGTTTTTGGTTCTGCAAAAACTGTTGAAGACATTCATTTGAAACATTCAGTATGAATTGATGAAATCTACACAGCAGACCTAATCCCGTCTGCACCTACATTTTAAACATTTGTGTTTACACAGTGCTATGTATTTTTGTTGTTATTTATTGTTGAAAAATATTAAATAGCCTATCAGTATTGTTTATATAATATATTTCAGAAGTCAATGGAAATCGCGCTGGCGATGGAATTTAAAAAGATGTATGCAAGCAATGTATTAGAATTGGAACGACTCAACAAAGACTTGAATTCTTATCTCATTGGTGTTCAGCAGTATTGCCAAGAGGTACGATACTTTCTTTATATTTTAATAGTCTAGAGACAGCAGCTAGGTCAGTCGGCTAAAATGGTTGTAGCCACTGTGTATACGCTGAGCCATAGAGATTTCTTGGTCCCCGGTTCAATTCCCATCTCTGCTCTGCTTGTGTTTTAGCTGGAGGGCTGAAATACACGATTCCAAAGCACACCGTCTTTCGTGCAAATTGACTCCTGTGCACAGTCAGAAAAGAGTAGGGGATTGTCTTCTGGTGTTCTGCACAATTCACCACCAGAAGGACCCAACTGGAAATAAGACTTCAAAGGACTTTTGTGGATTATCCTTGTTGTGTATCACACACACCGAATAAATCCATGCAAACCATCTGTGTGATAGTCAATGTCTGAACTCACACAAATCAGAAAAATAACCATTTTTTTTTTCATATTCAGGGTATTATTACACATTCACTGAATAAAACTGCTTCACAGTCAGTTCTCATTTATATGTAAAATAATAATACTGTACATGCAATATTTTTTCTAAATATATACAATATTAACAAGGTAGTAAAATGGTAACAGTATACTGTACAGATATTTACTGCTCATGAGGGGAATGGTGAAATTTATTGCCCCAAGGTGATGCGAGACCCTAACCTACTATCTTCTACATTCTCCACATCACAGAGGTGCTCTAATGTTTAATCATGGATATTCTCAGCTTCATATTCAGTGGGAAACTTATTATATAAGCATGGAGGTATAAAACTCCTATTTATAGCAAATTCACAACTCTCTTGTTTATGATTAAGTGACATAACAAACATTAGAAAATATCTTACAGTTGGATAAAATGTTGACACCAACAGTTATTTCTGTATAGGCAATAAAGTACAGTAGATGAGTTTTCTGTCAACCAGTGAGTATCACCTTGAGATTTTGAAATGTGAAATATAATTGCCATGATTACAATTACATTTTTCAAATTACAATTACATTACGATTATTTACAATTACAAATTACAATTACCGATTTCACCGTTCCCCGAACCTAGAGCAGTCAGTATTTGTATTATATACCTCATACATAGATTCTACCAGCCTAGAAAGTAATGAAAAGAGTACCCACCAAATAGGCATAGGCTTACTCGCTCAACCATGCTATCTGATCTGTGGTATGGTCAAACCAAAGCCATTCTCACATTTTATAAATTACACAGTGTTATAAGTGGTGCCTAGAGATTACTGTACATCGCGATAGGGCAAAAAAAATACTATCATTTAACGTGATAATAATTTTATCTCTGGGAATTTATGAACTATAATTCAACCTATAGGTGTGATGGCTGAAGTTATTGGCCACTTTTTAACCAATTTTAACCAATAAGATGCCTGGAATCTACGTATATGATACATAATACAAACTATCATGATATATGATAGCAACAATAATGAAATAGCCTACAAAGCAACAAGAATCATTCCAATAATATAAGAAAAAAATATGTTGTTTTCAAATTTATCTTATATTATCAACTGAGGTGTTTCTCCATATGAAAGAAATACTTTTTTTTTATCTATTATTTTATTGTGTAGTCAGTAATACTAAAAATGTATTGAACCAGGCCTCAGCTCAATTGAAAGTAAGTTGGGTGTGCAGGAAAAGTTACAATTTATTTGTGAATACACTTGAACTTGCCTGTTGAATCCAAAATGGCATTGAAAAATTGTTTGACTTTGATAAAATTTGATTTGCACATCGTTGAAAGCACAACAATTTAGCATATAAACTATAAAGTAAGATCATAAGGCAAAATTGAACTGTATAAGAATTTGGTATGTTAACACTATGAATGGTAACTCTCAGCATCATCGTGCTGAAGGCGTGGTTCGTGACTACTGTAGCAGCAGCAGAGAAACACTTTACTGTAGTAGCCTCAAACTCATTCCACAATGACAGGTGCTGAAAAATTAACCATTGCATCAAAGTTGCAATGGATTCTTTCAAATGTACACACAAACTAGGTGTACACTAGATACAGGTTTCTTATCCGAAAAAAACTTGGTTTTACGAACTGAACACTGAGTAAAAAGAATCTTGAAATCTTGAAACAGCGCCGATGTTAACAATGTGGTTAGTGGCGCCTTACCGCTCAGATAATCAAATAAGGTCTAAATGAATCATTTTTAAGTTTCAACACTGATAAACTATCTCAATAACATAATCTTCATAAGTCAATGTGATATTTCTAAGGGTTACTATAAAACTATTTTTTTAAAAGGGATTACATGAACAAGTTATACATTATGGAAGACTATAAACTACAGTATGTTGTTAACTTATTAAAAGTGAAGTATTTGAAAACTATTATGGCACAATCATTGCCTATTAAATTGTACTATATGTGGCTGAAGCACAATTCAACTTGCCTAAAGTTGAATCCAAAATGGCATTAAAAAATTGTTCGACTTACACAAAACAAAAATTACAGATCGTAAATTAATGGAAAACACAAGAATTTGGCATGTGAAATAAGATCGACTTAGGCAAAGTTGACTTAAGCAAGTTTTACTGTATAACTTTAGTCTGTGTAATTCTCTCTAAAACAAACTACAGGTAGGTGTAGTTCCAAGTAAGCTAAATTTACAGTACTGTAGTTCTACAGTACAGTAAGTACTGTAGTTGCAACTTCAACTTATGATTCACTACAACTACAGTACTGTACATCGGTGGAAAACAACTGGCAAGCAATGGTTATTCAGTACGGACCACTAACTGACTGTAAGGAGAAAATATGCCTTGTTAGTGAACTTTATTTTTCAAAGATGTTCAGAGGGTAGACAATAAATAAAAATTTATATTATTTTTTGCCTTATTTATTTTCATTGATATGATGTTCAGTTCAGTAATTCAACTGATAATCTCAAAACAAGATATATAAAGAGTCTTGTCTAAACAAAATTTAATAACTAATGCAAGGCATATCAACTTTTTTTTGTCATAAAAAAAATATATTTTATAAGGATTTGTGTACAGCAAAATAATGACTTAAGAAGCCAAATGGGCCAAGAGAGAAGGAGAACAATTTAAAGATAATTCTGTGATAGGAACAAGAAAAAACAAAAGTTCTAGTCAGAAAATTATCTTTTAATAGTACAGTAGTTGGGATTGGTAGTTAAGATGCTAGCCTTTCAATCCCACAATCCTGTGTACAGTTCCTGTCATGGTATATTTTTCTCACAACCAAAAACAACTCAATTCCGTAAGCCTCAAAATAAGACTTAAGTCTACAAGGAGCATCTTGTGTGTGTGTTTGCCTCTTAGAAAAGTGATTTACTTTGCTGTTTGGCAAACCCTTAGCCCTGGTGCCAGTTAAATAAAAAAAAAAACTGCTGTAGTATTTTACAATTACTGTATGTTCTATGATATAGATACTTATGACCTATCTATTACTTCTGGGCTATTAATTTTATTCATGTACAAACTTATTTCTTGATCACTTATGCCGAAGTCTGGTTTCAAAATTTCATTCTTCAATGTGTGTGGAATGTCTAGTTTGCATACATGTTGCTGTTTCACCAGCCTTCTCATTACTTGGAGACATCTTTGTTTTAAGCTGTAAACCGGTAGAACTAACTCAACTTCCAGCACCGATAGTCCATCAGGTAATAACTTGGGATAGTACACCTCTCTGGTTTCTGTTTCATTTTCTTTATAATATATCTTATCTCCAGTCAGATGATCCTTGAAGATCCAGGGGTGCATAAGATACGTCTGAATTGCAGTACTTTTATTTAGCTTGAGCCCATCTTTAGGATTATATCTTCTCCATTCCGGTTTCCCTTCAAAGTTTAACCAGATCACTCTAACTCTTCTTGGTGATTTATTAATAAATTTTACTTGTGTTGTTTCCCAAGTTTTCAAAGATTTAATTCTTCTCTCACTTGAAGGAGGCATTTTCACCAAGACCTGTGTTTTAAATAATGAGAATTGTAAATTAAATTTTTGTAGGAGAAAAATTAAAACCAGTCTAAGCAATCACTGTGCCATTCCAGTCGACTTTTGTAACCTAGACTATAAAATTGCCCAGATTTTCAACTCGCATAATGAAAAACACTATGTAAAATTTTTTTTAATTGGTTAGCATCCTTATGTTATCAATTTTCATGGTAGGGAGGGAGGCTCTTCAAACATGAAAAAAGAGTGCAGCAATGAAAAACAGCAAAACAAAGAAGAAGAAAACAACAAAGATCAAAATTGCATACAAGAAATTATGTAATTCATCTATAGCAAGCAGAAATTTTACCTATGAATAAGAGTGATAATGCAATTATCTCTATATAATTGCACACAATTCACTCCAACACAACAGGCATCATGGATGCCATGAGGCTATATATAGAAAAACAGTAGAGCATAGAACTGCAAGTGGTCTGGCTAGCGTGCGGATGGGTGGTAAAGAAACCTATATTAAATGGAGTTTGTGAGTGTTTTGAAAAAAAAAATTGAGTTGGTAGCCTCTTTGATGGTAGGGAGAGGGATGCTAACCAAGTATTCAATTTTATATGGCCTAATCAGGAAGGCTACCATACCAATAATGTGGTGGCATAATAATATTTAAATAAGAAACCAGGAATTAGAGATGTCACTGATCTCTACTATAATAGCTGGATTGCTCAATGGCTGGTTTTAGTGGGGGGGCCTAAGTGACATATCATTTTAGAAGTTTCTTTTGGCATTTGTTTAAATTATTGTTAAAAATAACGATTCTTACAAAACTTTTTAATAATAAATTTGAATTTAACGTAATGATTATTATCATCTATCTACTTGATGTGACTTTTTATGCAGTTTAAGAAAGCGCAAGCAAAGTTATTTGCGTCATTAGGGATTGACGTCACTATAACAATGCGACTTCGCTCACGCTTCTGAAAACTGCATAAACAGTCGCGTCTAGTGGTTAGATCTACATTAAATTTAAATTTATTATTGAAAAGTATTGCAAAAATCATTATTTTTAACTATAATTTAAACAAATGCCAAAAGAAAATTTTCTAAACTGGTACGTCACTTAGGCCCTCGAACATGGCGTCGGAGGCCTCACTTTTTTCTGTAATAGGATTGGCCGATGAGCAATCCAGCTATCATAGTAGAGATCAGTGATAGATGTCAGTTGAGATTCTGCTTTTTCACTGCAGCCTCAAGAACAAAGGTATACAGTACTATGTGCTCTCTTAACTTTTTAAAACTTAATGGTTTGTCTACACTATCAAATTTTGATATGACAAATTTGTATGATGTGAGAAACAGGGTTTTTAATTCAATGTAGCGCTTTCATTTGAGCACTGTAGGTCATAATAATATTCCTCAAAAATACTTTACTCTTACCAGCATTACAATGCATTTTTACTATAAAATACAAGTTATGCTACTGGAATAAACTACAGTAATACAATAAAGGCAATTACCCTGTCATTTTTATGTACATATGATTTCAATTCAATATACGACATTCCCCATCACCAAAACCCCCTAAACTGAATCAAATTGAGCAAGTTCTTGGACTCAAATCCACAATAACATTCATTGAAGAAGCTTAAATGAACTTCTTGTATATATATTAATATTTTGCAAATCTTCTGATTTTTTAAGCAATCTTGGGATTTTTTGGACTCAACCTTGGGAATTTTGATTTCTCCCAGTGGTAATGCTGGTAGAGGTTGCCAACATTTTATTTTATCCAGGGGTTTCATTAAAAGGCACACACCACCACTTAACATCGCAAATCATAAAGAAGGTGAAAGTTTGTATGTTCATCCAGACATGACATTCATGAATTGATTACTTTAAATTTAGGGCAGCATTCAACAGTGTTTTTTATAAATGCAGGTATAATATGTACCAACTAACCCAAAAATCCCCAAAACATCAAGCAAGTATCAGTCAAGCAAGTAAAAGATAAAAGCTCAGCTGATTTGCAATGTTAGGTGACTGTGACAAGTTAAATAGAAAAAAATTATTAGTGTAGGCCTAGTAGTAATAGGCCCTAGGCTAAGTACAGTACTGTATAATTTTGTTTGTCATCATGATCTTGAAGTGATGACAAACATTGTGAATCAGAGGTGCGTAACTAACAGAAATAAGATAATAATAATCATACAATATTGTTATAATTACTGTTATTACTTTGATAATAAGTTTGATAATATTCTGTTTTGCTATTTTGTGTAATTTTGTTTACCGCCTCCGTTTTGATGTTTTTAACTTTTTAAGGCAATTTTTAAATTTCTTATGTATGTGCAATTCAACTGTTTTTAGTTGCGAATAAAGTATATTGTATTGTATTATAAGATAAGCTTTTGGGCTGATTTTACTACTGCACTGTAATGCATAGACCTATTACACTACTTAGATAGGCTTTTCTTTTTCCATCTTGTTTTCAGAGGTCAAAAAACATTTTTCAATTTTTTTTCAATCATATAGTGGTGTAGACTAGTCTTTTAAGAACATTTTACTGGAAATTATTTTTGGATACGACGCCCCGTTATGGAGTTATGATATTTAAATAACATGATGTCATTGTCAGAAAATTAGCTCAAACGCTTATCTTAATCTTATTTATTATGTTGGCTACGCACCACTGATTCGCATAGTTTGTCATTACTGTACTTCAAGATGTCTACCGATTCGTGAAAACTAAAAAGGCCTATAATAAAAGTAATCCAAAGAAGCAGAATTATAAATACGAAAAACTGTCCAATTTCCACATACAAAGTAAGTCTCCGACACTCAACAGTCGCCCGATTGTAAGCGGCGCCTTTGCGAGTTGGAATCCGAAGAGCCAACTCTCTCGGCAGCTAGGCCCAGTACGACGAGGCTAGCAGTAGTAGTTGCCTGGGAGGCCTAGCCTAGCTTGTAAATTCTCAATCTTTATTGAACTTCTCTTAAATTAAAGATACATGTAACTGTAAATAGAGTTCATTTACCACATACCCGTTACATCTAGATCTAGGACTACTTATTTACTTCGTATATGTTGTTTATTTTCTCCGTGTTTGTGATGGATTTGGCTTGGCCTACGTGAGAAACTTATCGCTCGTGTAAGTCTAGTCTATGCGGTAACTTTTATACGTAGTTTTCATACATTTTTAAGGTTGGCTTCTAACAAACGACTGGACCATCTGACTTGCCATTGCGCATGGGCTGTGAATTATTTTAAGGTTGCTTTGTTATTCTTTTTATGAATGAGCTCGTAACTTAACATGTTGGTAGTGTTCGTCCTGCATGTTTGATACCAAATTCAACTTGTTTTAAGTTTCGGAATTATGACTTCTAGTAATGAAGCATGGAAAAGAAGGGAATGTGAGTCTTGAACAAATTTCAGTGACTGGAAAGTTCTTGTTGTTTGGAGAAGGCAATGGCAACATGAAGCCTCAAGAAGGAATGGTGGCTGACGGTGCTGCTACTACTACTACCACCTGCAAGACGATACTGATGAATGGGACGCTTAGCCCTAAGCTACGCCTGTCGAATCGAATGCTTTCATCTATCAATTCTCGAAGAAAAAACTATACCCCAAGAAGACGACGACAGATGTGTATCACTGATGATAAATCAGCCAATTCTGATCATTGTCGCTTCAGTAACACAAAAAACGTTGATGTTGGTCATGATTTTTATACTAAAAAAGTAGGCTATTTAGAACTCCATGTTTAGGACAAATATAATTAATTTGCTAGTTTCACGTCCCTGTCCGTCCCCCCCCCCCCCAATTATAGTTTGGAGCCTCATGAAAAAAAATTACTATTGGATATTTTTCAAAAACCTACAATTTTCACATGAAAAATAAAAATTATGATGATCTGAATTATTACTGTCAAAGCCTAAGGAAATAGGTAGAAACATATGGCAGCATACATTGCACTCATTTTGCTTCTTTTATAAAATTACAAATGTATTATTTACCAGCCTGTTTACCACTAGTAAAAAGCAATAAATAATACACCATAAAATAGGTTTGAATTTTGGACATGAAACTAACAATTATTTGTTTGGCATTAGTATTATTTTTAAATTAAATTAGCTACAGTATGTTCAAACATGAACAGTATTGAAGGAAATATGGAGAGTATTGAGAACAGCAGTTGTGGCGCTATATATAAGTTTTCTGAAAAGAGGTCTGCCATGGTTGTTTGAAACAGGGGATGGGGGACCACCTACCAGGGCTATGAGTAGGGTGGCTGAGTATAAACGCCTGGTGGGAGAGAATTCATGGGGTTTTTTTTTAAATTTTATAGACCGTAATTTTATTCTGCAACAGTGGTGTATCTAGGTGTAAGGGTTCATGGGGAGAATCACCTCCTGCTTTTCCCCGCCACAGACACCATCCCTTTCCTCTATTGAAAATGTCTGAAGCAAAAAAAAATTGCACTAGTTGCTAATAGTTAGAAATACCCCATATCACCTTATTTTGCAAACTTAGAGGCCCCTCACTTAATTATCTAGCTCCACCTTTGTGTGCTCCCCTCCCCCCCCCCACTCCATTAAAGATTCCAATATACACCACTGCACTGCATTTAAAATAACTTGGTTGAAGTGGCAAACTAATATGTTCTTGTGATGCCATCAGGTTTTCAGACTCCATCGGACAACTTGGCCTTTCGAGTATCCTTGAGCCACACCACAATTTTGAGCTTAAGGAAAATTTAAATTACAAAAGACATAAATACATACAGTAAATAATACAATGCACAATATACAATAATAATATGTGGCAGACAAGCCAAACCTGTCACTCCTCACAAAAATCAATTTTTATTTATTAATACAGGGTTAAACAGTAAAATGAGAGCTATAAAATGGTAAAATAATCATTTAAATCCGACATTACTTTAATGAAGAGTTTAAACATACAGCTGTTTAAAAACAATATTTTAGGAATCAGCATTCAAAGTTTATGATTTTGGGCATTTCTCAGGCAGAAATCATCACCAAATCATTAAAAATTGCTATTTTAACATTGAATAGCATAGCATGATGTATAGATATGTAAAGTTTAGTTTAGTGAAATAAAATAGATTTCAAAAAATTTGACATTCCAGCTTGTTTTGCATTATCTCTGAAACAGGATTTGCGATGAGTGACTGGTTTGGTTTGTCTTTGCCACATATGAACAATACAATAATAAAATGTTGTCTTTTACTTTTTTTGTTATTTTATTTTTATATGACCTGATTTTGTCCTAAATAGTATTTCTTTTTAATGAATGTCACTGTAATCAATAAATTTTATATTGCCTATTTGTAAATACTGTATTAATCTAATTTTACCAAAACTAATTTTTAAACTGTATTTTAATGACTTTGTATTTACCTTTTGTTGAGACCCCTATTGTTCAAATCACTGGCCTGACTTTTTGCTTGCTGGATCATCCTTGTTAAATTAATAATATGATTGAATAAAATAAATTAATTCTTTTTTTGGGTGCCAGTATCTTTAAGCAATAATGTATTCACTTAATTATTTTTACATGGAAGTGTCCATAGAATGTATAATTTACAGAAAATATATTATTGTATCACTTGATCGTTACAATCAATATTGCATCACTTGATCATATAACATTAGTGCAACACTTGATCATACGATCATTATTGTAACACTTGATCATACGATCATTATTGCATCACTTGATCATATGATCATTATTGCATCACTTGATCATACGATCATTATTGCATCACTTGATCATACGATCATTATTGCATCACTTGATCATACGATCATTATTGCATCACTTGATCATACGATCATTATTGCATCACTTGATCATACAATCATTATTGCATCACTTGATCATACGATCATTATTGCATCATTTGATCATACGATCATTATTGCATCACTTGATCATACATGATTGTTGCATCACTTGATCATACATGATTATTGCATCCCTTGATCATATGACTATTTTTGCATCATTTGATCATACGACCATTATTGCATCACTTGACCATACAATCATTATTCCATCCCTTGATCATATGATCATTATTGCATCACTTCATCATACGATCATTATTCCATCACTTCATCATACAATTATTATTCCAACACTTGATATTACAATTATGCATTACTAGATCATGTGATCCTTTAACATTACAGATCGCTCCTGGTCAGGGACTTGAACCTATGGATCAACCAGTTGAACAGAAGCTGCGATGCGACCAAGAAGCAAGTCAAATAGTTCATGATGCAAATTTAGCCTTAGGAGAACGTTCTGTAAAGAATGCCCATTTGAATGATCTTATCGCGAGTTTGACATCTTTAATGCTCCAAGTTAAGGTAAGTCGGATATAAATAAGGCAAGTAAAATTTTTTTTTAATTGGTTAGCATCTTTATGTTACCAATTTTCATGGTAGGGAGGGAGGTTTTTTTTTCTTTTTTTCTCTCGTCACGTCACGTCGAACATGAAAAAAGAGTGTCGCAAGTAAAAACAGCAAGACACAGAAGAAAACAACAGAGACCAAAATTTAATACAAGAAATTATGTAATTCACATATAGCAAGCAAAAACTTTACCTATGAATAACAGTCATAATGCAATTATCTCTGTAATCGCGCACAATTCACTAAAACACAACAGTCATCATGGATGCCATGTGGCTACAGTATAGCATAAAACTGCAAGTGGTCTGGCTAGCGTGTGGACGGGTGGGGTGGTAAAGAGACCTAGGCTATATTAAATGGAGTTTGTGAGTGTTTTGTAAAAAAAAAAAAAAAGAATCGTGTTGGTGGCCTCTGATGGTAGGGAGGGAATGCCAACTATTTATTTTATTTGCATCGCCAAATTGGTATCATAGCAAGGATCAGCTGTAAACAAAAGTAACGTTTGTATGAATATATAAAATTCAAATTAGAACAGATGGAACAAAGTCAACAATAATTTCAACAATTATTGCTTAATGTTTACCAGTAGTAAAACCAAATTCTTATATATTGATAATGGTAATTAATGGGGATTATTATTTATTGCAGAATTTAGCGTCAGGGGATTTGAATTCATATGGATTTCAGTCATTGAACGAGTCATTGCAAGAGATTAAGGGGAAGATAGATCCTTCAAATTTTACGTGAGTATTATTTTATTTACTACCAATAGTTTACTGATCTATAGTCTTTAAAAACAGTCTTAAAATAAAATTTTTATTACACTTTGACATCTTTTCATTATTAATTTAAATATTTTATTTTTCTGTTTTTCATTTGGTCTTGGTATGTTAGTGAAACAGGGGTCCAATGTTTGGAAAAATCGACATCTAGGAGAACACGTTTAAATGAAATGCTTTAACCCATCTAATTATGATTTGGTGTTCATAGTGATAACCATCGGCACTGACTTGCGGGAGACAATTTATAATCATATTAACATAAACTTGTAAAAACGTGCAAATATCATGAATTCATCAGAGTGCAGGAGGCCTTCCCAGTTCCTTGGAGACTCCTAAGTGCTTGCGGGAGAATTAGGACCCTGATGTTTTAATGGATATTTTTTCTCTTGAATCTTGTTTCAGGTGCTTCCAGAATAATGTAGAGGTCCACGTGGCACATATTCAGAGTGGAATGACCCAAATGGGTAACCTACATGCCTTCTCAGAAACCAGTGCACTACCATTCTGAACAGGTATTTACAAGTATTATTTCCATTCATACAGTACAGTGGTTCCCAACCTGGGGTCCATAAACCCCTTAGGGGTCCGCAAAAAATAATCGTGGATCCACCAAGTCAAAAGTGTCCGCAGAGGATTCTGCGAAAAATGTGGGGGTTCCGAAAAATGTTGGGATCCGCTAGATTGTTTGAACAACTTTTTCGTGGTTCAATTATTTTTTCTTCTCTTACAATAGTGTGATCTTTTCAATTTTGTATTCTTTGTGTAAAGATGTTTAGTATAGGAGAACCACTTGGTAGTGGCAATCCTGAGGTAATGTAAATCTTGTTTCCATGTTTTCTCTTGTATATTGCTTTTACCTGGATATTGAATAAAGTTTTTAAAAATCAGGAGGGAGTCTTACAGTGTCATTTCCGGCCATCTACAAGTGCCATAAACATAACAATTTCATACCTCAGCCCCAACCAGGGTGGGGCTGCGGTAGCGTAAATCCTCTATCTGTGAAATTTACTGTCTCTATCCCTGCCCTTGTGTCTATGTCAAATTCCAACATCCAAGATGTTGTAATTTGACGAATCATTTCTATCCATAATCGTATTGGCAGAATACCAACTATGAGTCTCCCTAAGTTTTACCTTAAAAAATAAACTGGGGATGGGAATAAATGAAAATTACCTTCAAATTTTGAGTTTGGCAGTGCCATTTCCAGCAATCTAAGTGGTGTAGACTAGACAATTTTGTACATCAGCCCCAACCTTGGTGGGGCTGAGGTGGTTTCTATTTCAAATTCCAGGATTCACCACTGTTTAATGTTGTACTTTCGTGGCGGATCATCTTCTATCTGTAGTCCTATTCTTATTGTTGGCATATGGACAATAAGTATTATTTAGACATAGGGTCTGTGAAGATTTTGGTGGTATGTCCAGAGGTGTCCTCAAATGCAAAAAGGTTGGGAACCACTTTTACTGTATGCCCAGTTTACTTTAAATCAACTTTACCACTAACCCTTAGTACACAGGTTTTTTGACACTCCTTTTTTGCTATTCTGCAATGTAATTGACCTGTTGAAATTTACTATAGTTGCCTTCTGGATCAGTAGATGACAGCCCTCAGCAACTTCAGTCGTCTCGCAGAGCCTAATTTTAATATTTTTGCTTTGATTTTGTTTTTCAGAGTGAGAATAGATCGATTGAATTTTTTAACCAAAGATTGTCAGTTGCTATGGTAATGCAGTTATCATCTTATTGAGTCCATACTTGGCCACATTCTGCTCTCAAATCTGGGTGGTGTTATTGGGATTGGAAAGATCAGCTGTAGCACTGGCATAAAAAAAAAAATCAGCTGTGCAATGTGGCAGATGTGAAAGAAAGAGAAGATTTTGCAAAGGAAAATGTGAATTTTCAATTGTTCAATTCAATCGTTTTGATGTGACCAGGCACTATGGCAGACATTAAAGAGAGAAGGGCTTTGCATAAAATGTAATTGTTCTGATGTTGCAGACTTCAAACAGAGGGGAACTTTGCAATAAAATTTCTTGTAAATGTGACATTTTCTCTTGTTCTGATATGACCAGACAGTATGGCAGACATCAATGAGAGAAGGACTTTGTTGAGAAACTACAGTACTTGGTAAATGTGGTTTTTTGTCAATTGTTAATGTGACCAGGCAATATAGCAGGCATCAAAGGTAGAAGAACTTGGTAAATGTGATGTTTTGTCAATTGCTCTGATGTGACTAGACAATGTGGCAGATGTCAAAAAGAGAAAAGGACCCGGCAAAGGAATTGGTAAATGTGATATTCTGTCAGTTTGATGTGAGCAGGCAATGTGGCAGATGTCAAAGAGAGAAGGACTGTGTGATGTTTTGTCAGTATTTCTGATATGACCAGGAAATATGCAAATATCGAAGAGAAAAGGAAATGTAATGTTTTGTCATTATTCCGATGTGTTTCCAGTATGACAGATATCAAAGTAAGGAGGACTTTGCAAAAAAATTACTTGGTAATATGATGGTTTTCAAGTGTTCAGATGTGACCAGACAATATGGACATTAATTGTTGATCATGCTGTGACCAGGCAATGTGGCAGACAACAATTACTTTGGTAAACGCGAGGTTTTGCCAATTAATTTTGATGTGCCAAGAGAATAACTGTGCATCAGAATTGGATGGTAAATAATGCTATGACAATTGCAATAATGTGGCCAGGCATCTAAGAGAGTTAGATTGATGCTCTAATAATGAGGCATATTAATTTGAGCCATAAAGCAAGTCTTTAATTTGTAATGATCGTTGGGATTCCAATTGGATACAAGAGATACACAGTATAGCATATTTGAATATTAACTTTATACATGTTGGTATGACAACCTGGGTTTCATTTTCATTAATAATGCCCTTTTTACACTGCGATGGTGAGAATAAACATGTTAATTCCTGAGTGATACCAGGTGCATTTCCATTTATATTGAATGGGAAAGTCTGGGTTGATCTTGAGTTCACCCCTTTTTACACTGGCAGCAAATGCGGGTTCAAATACCGCCTCCAATTGTTTTGATAGTTATCATCATGTCGCTCGAGTCGTGATGGAGCTGCAATTATTGTCAATATTAAAGCAATATATCGGCAGATTTTTTTATTTTGCGAATTAAATCAGCAATTATTTGTTATGGAAACGCAGGAGGTTTAATTTAAAAAGTATCTTGATCTAGCCCGTTACCAGCAAATGTAACGGGCTTAAAATCATACAGTTTTTAAAATGCCAATTAAGAAAATCTTATATAAAGTTGAGCAATGTACATTTTTGGCATTTGATTGGTTGGTTTTCAATGAAAAAAAATCACAGTGCATGGCTGAATTTTTGTTTGTGTGTGACATTTTGCCAATTTTTCCATTGAATTTTATTTTTAAAATGAGTTAAGAGAATATCGGTCTAGGCTAGGTTGGCCGCATACCACCTCTTTGTTTTGATCCTGCGAGTGCAGATGAACAAATGGCAAATAATGTTAGTCACATGGATAGAATGTGTTCATTTCCTGGAAAATGGCATCATTGCAGTGAAATGATATTCAATCTTCACCTGCACTCATAAATATTCATTATTTGTTTATCATTTAACATATTGTCTGTCACAGAGACTGGTGCAATTCTGTTATATAATGTATGCCAAACCAGGGAGGACTAATTTTGTCTTGCACTTTGTATTAAATTACTATTCAGAATATCTGACATTGCCTAAAGCCTGTTTTCATAAACTCGATACACAATCGCTACAGTGTTTTCAGTATAATGGTTGTACTTTTTAGCAGTTCCGCAATCTGGAAGGCTCCCTGATTCAACCATCCAATCAGCATCACCGAAAGCTTTCGGTGATAGCGTGTAACGATTGTATGGAAAGCAAGCTTAACACTGACACAATCCAAAATTTTCAAAATCTAGTATCAGACTTTGGCAAAATTTATGTTTCTGATGGAGCCCAAAATATTTTAATTTATTTTGTTGGAAAATAAAAATGTTTATAAAGCTTTTAAAAAATTTGATACCTTACAGATACCATACATTTTGTGCGCTCTGGTTACCATCTAATATAGCAGCTGAATGATAAGCAGCAAGAGGTCCGACTGCCTTGATTTTGTGTTGTAGCATTGAGTTTGGGGGGGAGGGAGAGGGTAGGAAAAGGGAGAGGAGGCATTTTTCTTTTCAAAATTATAAATAAAGTGGGAAAAAAAAAGGGAAAGTGTAGTTAAATTTAGATCTGAGAGTGCCATTTCTGGCAATGCGGAGGTGCCATAATAAATTTTTCTTACCTCAGCCCTAACTATGGTGGGGCTAAGGTGGTCTAGAATTCACTGGCTCCCCTGTTTTTAAAATTTCTGGATCCGCCACTGATATGCACGCAATGAAATGAAAAACAAAGTACAGTACTACCTGCAGGGACGCATCCGTCGTGATAATCAACTGGGGGTGAGGTAACAGAATTGGTTTCCCATTCCATTGATGTAGGCAATGAGCCCACCATTTCAACTCCTGGGTACTTTCTTCGGACAGTACCACTGCACTCTGATATGAAGGATTTACCCGAATTTCCTGAATTAAAGATGTCTGTAGTGCCCTGTAAAACACTGGCGCGTGCACTACATCTTCTGCTGTGGCAGTCATCTGTCTCTTATACACATCTAGATGTGTATAAGAGACAGATGTACATGTCTGTACAATAGGTGACTAAGCACCAGGACTGAAAACAATAGAGGACATGGCCTTATCTCCAGCAATAGTGTTTTTAGGGAGGCCCTAAGCGTGGAAGTAGCAAATTGGCATAAATCGATGGCTGGTCAGTGTAACTAACAATTGTGAATGGTAACATAGCAATAAGCCAATAAAAATCAAAATCAAATGTACATTAACCAGTAAATAATATAAATGGAGATAATAATAATTATAATAATAAAAAATATAATAATCCTTGTCTGTGTTTTCCATGTGTTCGATTCCAAATTATAAATCATTTTGGGAATCTGGTTAGATACACCATTGATAACATTAAATCTGGAGTATAGGTGTAATTTTCGAAAAGAACGTAAGCCATAGATTACCAATGGGTTTATTAATTTTTTTAGCACCGATGAGGAGCTATAGGAAGACCCGGCAGATTGATTAATAAATCTTTTTTTGTGCTCATTGTTTAATAGATTCTTTTTTTTTTTTTTGAGGGGGAGGGGCCAATAATTGTTATTATCAGCCTATTATTAGTAGGTCCGCTTAGAAGCCCTAGAAACACTCGGCTGCATAGCCATCGGAAGCATTTTGAAAATGGTCCGGTCATTTGTGGGGGTTGGGGGCGCTTAAAACATTTGGTTTTTGAATTGCCACGCCACCCCAAACGGACACAGAATTTGAAGTTAGTGTGGTCTGAAAGTATATCCACCTCCGCCCTCACCATGAAGTGTAGGTCTGCAGTGTTTTTGGCACCTCTGTCAATTGGTCAAGGTTGATCAGACTAACAAAGCCTTATATTTAACAAAATTACACTTTTAATTACCATCCCTATATTTAGGAGTCTAGAATTCGGGGCCAGAAAAATGTTATTTATGAAAGGGAATTATTTACAATTTATTACTGTTTTACAGAAGTAATCCATAGTACCATATACCTGTCGGAAAATATGGTATTTCTGTAATGTAGGTTTCTGGGCCGGAATATAGATTACTAATGTATTATTCATAAAAATACGTGTATATATCATACTTTTACTAAATTTAAGTTTTGAATATGATTATGTGGTAGTAATAGTGCATGTATATTATAGGCCTAAAAACTTTGATCAAAACATGCGTTTGTTTTATGTTACTAGAAAAATGTTCACAGGAGACCAATCCTAATAGCTGAATTCTGGGGTGTGTGTTATGTTCATGAGGGACCTTCCCATAGGAGTATGTCCTTACAGGGCATCTTTTAATTATTTTTACCGTTATGACTCAAGAAAACATTGGACCTATATCGGTACCCATATTCACAAAAGGGAGATAATAAAGGCCTAAATATCCCCTGTACTTAATGCTAAAGAGGATTTTTATCACGCTGTAGATGAGTTCTTGAATTGTTAAAGTTTTTTTGACTAAGTGCTGCGTTTGCTTATGTTATGCCTTATACCGATTACACTTTAACAGGGCCGTTGGAACCGCATCGGCCACATGCATAGTTAAAAAATGAATTGTCCTAGGGGTATGGATTTTGATTGCAAGTAATCAGGGACGGCTTGACCCGTATCCCTTTGTGTGGTAATCAAAATTTTTTCCGACTCCAACCCCTAAAAGCGGTGGTGTGCATGTTCCAACGAACCAAAGGTCGTGGGTTCGAATCTCGTCTTGGTATTCAACGTTTTTTTCCAATTTTTAGAAATTTATTCTTTTTTTAAAGACATTTTAATTTTGTACAAATAAAGATTCTAATTATTTAAAAATTTCTATCTTATTAGCTCTTCCAAATTTTGTTGTCAACCAGCTCTCAAATATCAGAGAATGTTCATTTATACAGAAGAAAAAACAAATCAAAAACAAAACAAAAAACATAAAAAAAATCAACGTTAAATGCTAACTGGCTCTGTTTGTATGGGCGGCCGGTAGGGCCAATTATTTTTATTTTTTGCTCCGATGAGAATCTCTAGAAATACACTTGTTGGCTGATTGATTATTGGATCTATTTTGTATGGGCGGCCGTTAAAGACATTTATTATTTTTATTATTATTATTATGATTACTAGCTCCGATGAGAAACGTTAGAAACACTCGGCTGATTGAATAATAGGCCTAGGTGTTTTAGCTCCAACGATTAGTTCTATGAATACCCGGTTGATTGATTGATCTTTTTAATATATCTTTTTTGTATGGGCGGCCGTTAGGGCCAATACTTTACTGCCTCTATTTTACTGCCCTCAAAAATTGTGGACAGAGTCTTTCTTTGGCATCAGTCGTATGAATGTTGGTCTTAGCTGTCTCTTATACACATCTTATATATATATATATATATATATATTGTGGACAGAGTCTTTCTTTGGCATCAGTCGTACGAACGTTGGTCTTAAGCTTTAGAGCACCCTTTAATAAACCATTCATTTCCAGATGTAATTCAACAAGTTGTGGACAGACGAGAGTAGCTTGTACGAAGTGACCCTAAGGGAGAAAAAAGTTACTTTATAGTCCACGCTTCAACAAGTACGATGATCCTCATATCAGAGGAGCCTGGCCTGTAAACTTATCGGAAGATAGAAGATAAGTCTGGTCTCAGCGTTTGTTATTATTGCAGTCTTCTTGTCTTAAACTTATTTAATTAGTATTAGTATTAGTATTAGTATTTAATTTTATTGAGGATTGATTGATAGGTTTTCCACACACTTTTTGATACCTTTAGATTTTCATGGTTTTTCTTTCATTCAGTATGCTAATCCGGCCGCTAAACATTAATTGAAATTAGTAAAATAGGCCTATGTTTTGGCTTATAGGACTGAATAATGGAAAAAAAATGTATTAAGCGCATTATTTACGGTATTGTAATTACGTGTTCAGTCGCCTCAAATGTGACTGTATATTTATTATATTATATTATATTATTTCCAACCAAAATTATGATAGGCCTATTTATTTTGTTCATTCACCTCATCCTATCCATCTTTGAATTCATTTAATTTCACTACACTAGTTAATGTGCATTAATTATTCCTCTCTTCTCCCTCTTTATGTTAACATTCGTGCGTTTCCCTTTCTTTGCTTGAATGTAGATCGAACAATCTGCACCGTCATTTATGGTGTTTTTTACTCTCCCACCACCCTGTCCAGGCGTGGAATCACAATCCAGATTATGATGTGCATATATTCTTCCCTTCCGCACCATCATTCTACCTACGGTACAGTTTGGAAAGCCGCTTTAATTCAGTGAGACTTAAGTGAAATTGTACCTTATTACACTTAAGTCGAATGCATTTCCACTTAAGTGCAAATGTGTTCCACTTAAGTGCATTTTAACTGTAATTGAGAGGCATATGATAAAATGGCTTTCCATACTACCGCGATCTTAATAACCCTTTACGAAGTAGTCTCATTAAGTGCGCAAAAACAAGCTTTGTATACAATACAATATTTTATTTACATATATCATACTTCGACAGCGCTACAATGCTATCGTTTGCTCACGTGTAAATCCACCAAGTTTTTTTTAATTCATAACATGAATATAGGCCTATTACATCAGTATGCTAAGCATTATCATATCTATTGTGCTACTTAGAATAATGATAATGAAAGTTAAACGCAACATTTTGACACAGAAGTAGGATTGACCAAATATCTCTTCGGGTTGATTTAAATCTTTGGTCCGAGCGGTAATCGCGTGATGTAACGCGATGCCATGAATAATTGTAAACCAAATATTTGGTCAAATAATTAAATTCAGATACATTCGATGTTTATTTTATACTGATGATTATATAAAAACCCTAATTTAAATTATACAGTATTTTATTTTTAAAAAGCACATTTTACAAAGCAGGTAAAAAAACTGTACATGTGTACAACGGTGTTAATTTCATCCAGCCTATAACTTGGATTAATTATGACTCTTACACCCGACATCGGATAAGTCAATGACGTCATTCTGTGTCTGATTTGAACGTAAGTTTTCATTTCATTTTAAAGCCTAGTTTCCATAAAATCGCTACACGCTTTCGCCGACATCTTTCGGCGACGCTGATTGGTCGGTCGAATCTGGCGTCTTTTCTAATTGCGTCGGATACAGCTACGCAGTGTAACGATTGCAGCGAAAACACTGTAGAGACAGTCTTATTGAAACCAGGTTATTGAAACCAGGCTTATAAGGTGCATTCACACCGAATCCGAATTTTTGGATCGAAAGGCCTACATATAACATAGTAGAATCGCAAGGAAAGCCAAACCATTCAGTGTCATCAGAGTTGCAATATAGCTCACATCTTTTATATGACGAGTTTCAAATGGTAGACAAACAGAAAAACGATGATAGCTATTAATGCCGATCAGTGGAACAGTCGCTGAGGTCATTTGGATCGAAAGGCCTACCAAACTGATCAGAAAACAGATTTAATGACGATCCGTTCAGACTGCCACCGACAATCAGCAGACGGCGTCGTGTCGTCTCCACTCACCACAGGGAGCGGAGTACGACTGTCGTACGACGCAGTAAGTGCCTGGCTTTCAGCCTGGCGTTCAGCGCCTTTGAAAACGGATCCGATGTGAATTCAGCTTTAACCTGTGAACAGTCTCCCTTCTGTTCATTAGATTGCAGTGTATACTCATGGAGGAATTAGTTTGGTATAATTGTGTTTTATTTAATTGTATCTGCATCGCATTTTGCAAGTGGAAGCATTTCTTCGTATCATAGGCCTAGGCTAATCGTGTTTTCATTCCTCGAACCGTATCAAATATTACAGTAGTCAAAATAGGCCCTATCTCCCAATCCACACAACTTAATATATAAATTACAATATTTTTATCTTCATTAAAATTTTAAATCACAACATTATGTATAAACTATATTATAATCTATTAAACATCAATTTTCCGTGCTGTATTGTCTATTTGGCCTCCAGCTTGTCAGTTTCAATAATTAAAATGACCATTAACTGTTACGTCATCTGTTCATTTAATAATATGTTTTCATTTTATAAAATTATATATGTAGCATATATTACAAGTTTACAACTATAGACTTACATTACATACAAACGTATTATACATAGTCATTATATCATATATTTATATATAATCACATCCTGTGTTGTGTATCTACTATAATATAAATATATTTATATAGCGATACTATGATAATTTCTTTGTATATGATATATATTTTAGCCTTCTCCGTATACAATAATTATAATAATTAATTAATTATATATTATATAATAGTACACATATATAAAGATATATATGTGTATATCATATAATATTACATCATATCTTTAACAATGTGATCAACACATTTGCAAACTATTTTAGCGAGTTACCTAAAGCATTAAATATTCTTGTTGTCAACCTCACCAAGACATATAACAAAGTTTTCATCGTTTAAGCTGCAGCTCTTCCAACCTAAATATAGGGATTCTTTATTATTTCAGTGAAGTTTATAGTATATTCTCCAAAGATATGTTTGTCACTCTTAAAATATTTTTCATCTGATCATTAAGTGGAACTATTTCCACTCGGTCATAAAACCGTTTCATCATTGGCTTTAAATGAGGGCGCCATCCATGTAAAGAACATTTTGTTTATTTCCTACGTTTTTGTTGAAAGTTTCTGAAAAAGTCACGACATCAAAAATGAAATAAAACCATAATTGATGACATTAATAAATAATGATATAGATGGTGATTAGTGATTCGTCTGAAGAGGTAGTATGCGTACAATGTTGGGAATGCTTTACTCAGTGTTGTTTATTTGCGCAGCAGTATGCGTAACGCGTTGGCGTTTTTGTAGGACTACACACCATGGACGCGATTGCATACTATGCGCATATGTCAGGGAATGCCTTCATAATGTTGTTTCTTTGGCGGCATCCAACCTTCTCCTGGTTTCCAATTGACTCATTGTGATCGACGGCGATGGGAAAATTATCGTCTGTGCTTGAAGAGCTGCTATGTCGTTGGGTCGCCTCTGCCAAACAGACTCTGTAGTTTTTATCGGTAAGTGCTCTGGTGGTTGAGTTACTTTGTGTGGATGACGGTTAGGTAATGGAGACGGCGGTAGGTCACCCGGTGCTAACAGATGTTGAATTTCACTACGATGGTGATACATCTCGCCCTTCTTAAACGTTTTACCTTTCATTAAGGACTGAGGCAATTTGTTGCGTATGTCGGTCGATGACGTCTTGAAACTTAACGAACCCGCCCTACCTTTTTCTGGTAAGGAATTAGCTCTTGTTCTTATCTCCAAGTTATCCCAGTCTGGTGGTGGAGAACAGTTGCCTTCAGATGAGCCACGTGATCGTTCAAATGGTCCCTGGATGTCAAATAGACGCGTGTTGCGAATCGGCCTTCTTGAAAACACTGATGGATTGTACTGGGGATCTACTTCCAAATCTATAGAGCCAATTGACTGTTTTGGTTTTGAATCGTGTACCCTCTCTGCGATTCGAGGTGACAGCAACGATAAAGAGAAGTGACGAAGACGAGTAAGAGGAGACATTTTGGTTAAATCTTCTTCTATTATATGGGGTTCGCGGGATGTTGTCTGCATTAACGGCATTGCTGAACTACGTCGTCGATTATGTCTTGTTTCCTCGTCATCCGAAGTTTCAAAATAGGACGAGTCATGCACGGTAGTTGACAAACGGCTTTCTATTGTCACTCTTGTCGCTACCGTACTTTCGCTCTCTAACCGACTTCTTGGTCTACCGGGTGACGTGCACTGTGGACTTGACTTGGGTGAATTTTGACGTTGATCAGGATGCACCGAAATAATAACTGCTGGTGGTTCGCCGTGTTGACTCTTTCCCAATCCAGAATCACTATCATGCCATCTCTTTGAGAAATCGTGACTTGCTGGCGACATGCGTCGTCCATTACTGTGACTTGCTGAGCGGTTATAGTATTGGATCTTTGGTGTCTGTATTTTACAGCGTTGTAAAATTTTCTTAAGATCCTTTTTAAAGTGCTGTGTAAATATAGTATAAAGAAATGGATTGAAGAAGGAATTGATTGGAAGTATAAACACAGTGAGAAACTTAGCATACTCGATTTTAATAAGATGGATTCCGAAAACTGATGTGAGGCTAAAAAATGCTATCGGCGCCCAACATATGAAATCAGTAAATATTAGAAGAGACATTCGCTGTGCTACTCTGGAGTCGTTGCAGTTCCATGCATGAGAGCCTTGAATCGCATAATAGATACTCATATAACATAGTAGAATCGCAAGGAAAGCCAAACCATTCAGTGTCATCAGAGTTGCAATATAGCTCACATCTTTTATATGACGAGTTTCAAATGGTAGACAAACAGAAAAACGATGATAGCTATTAATGCCGATCAGTGGAAGAGTCGCTGAGGTCATTGCGAAAATCCAACCGAATATCATAATGACGGCTGCTGGTCGGAGTTTGAGACGTTTATTGAGATTAACGGCATGTCGAATAGCATAAAACCGCTCCAAAGTGATCACCGTTAGTGTGTATATGGATAATTCGCTGGAGAACACCGCCATAAATCCCGCACCATTGCACGCATTGCTTTTCTGCCAGCGAAGACCGTGTTTCCGAAATTCATGCATCGTAGTGACATCAACTATTGCTAAGAACCCGATGTACAGTCCCATTGCAAAATCAGCACATGCCAAGTTAAGGATGAGGAAGCGGGGTACGTCCATCTTAGTTCTGCTGACACAGATCATCAATATGACAACTGCGTTGCCAAGTATAGCCGTTACAAAGACGATCCAAACACCGATTCGCAGCCACCATGATCCCAGTAATTGTTCGCAAGGCCAAAATGGATCTAGAAGAAAATAAAAAATAAAAATTGTGTAAATATTTAACGGTACATCATAAAACACAATTGTATGGACCAGCACATTTTTTTTTATGATACAAATGACAACATTTGTTTAACTTACAGAACTGTTCCTCTCCTAATAATAGAACCTGATGAAATTATTTGAGTTGAGCTATCGCAAAATGGAATGTACTGTAATTACCAACTGTAATGGCAGGTAAGGTATTGGTAAAATGAGAGAACTGTGAAAAACCACTGCCAACCCAGTGTTATCACAACTCAGCTCTAAACTATCAGAAATTTACCCAATGGCTCCAAACACAAACCTTCTATCACAAACGAAGAAACCAAAGAAACGGGAAATTTATCAAACCCACCACCCGTTGCGGTTTGTGTTACTGTTTCCAAATTCATTAATAAGTGGCAAATAATGTGTACCAACCTGGCATTGGCTTACAGTCTACAATATTCTCAAATTTTAATTCGATCGCCGATGAATATTCTCGCGTCAGAGACCCGTCTTCGTAATTCTCCGTATTGACAATGTCCACGTCGTTGTCGGTACCGTCATGGTTAAGTACTTTTCCCATACGATCCACTGTAGCAACAAATAAGGCGTCATCGCGTAGAGACTTAGCGTCCGAGATCTCGTAGTCTGAGTATGTACCATATGAACGTTGGTAGTAACTGCTATCATAGAACGACTTGTATATGTAATTACCTGCAAAAGTTGGTTTTAGAAACTGTTAAAACAAATGCGCGTTAACTTCGGAAAAATAACCTAGCGCCTGGTACACAGCACAATGCGTTGGTTGAGGAATAAATGCTAGCACTTGTCGTGTGGTTAAATAGACCATGTCTAATGTTGTTACAGTTTAAACCCATAAAAATACAGGCGCTCAAAGGTTGGACATTCGAATGGCACAATATTGGTATCTTTATATGAAAGGCCCGCCCTTCTGCCCGGGTTCAAATGGAGAATCATCACCCGCGTCTGAAAACTATGGTTAAATGCATATACTAGTTCTTATAACATAAAATGATTCATATTCTTACCATAATTTGACCAGTCTACGGTAGAGTTTTCATGCACCCCCGGGCCAAGCCAAGAATATTCCTCTTCAATTTCCAATGAATCGAATTCCTTCTTCAGGTAATCGCAGCAATGGTAGGCTGATGCAGCTCTCAGAGTATACAATGACGGGAAATATTCTTTAGGGGGAAAATCTATCAGATGATCATTGAATGCAAAAGATGGAGCCATTTTATATATATATATATATATATATATATAATACAAATAGAGTTTATTAAGCTGTCGTGTGGTTAAATAGACCATGTCTAATGTTGTTAAAGTTTAAACCCATGAAAATACAGGCGCTCAAATGTTGGACATTCGAATGGCACAATATTGGTATCTTTATATGAAAGGCCCGCCCTTCTGACCGGGTTCAAATGGAGAATCATCACCCGCGCCTGAAAACTATGGTTAGATGCATATACTAGTTCTTATAACATAAAATGATTCATATTCTTACCATAATTTGACCAGTCTACGGTAGAGTTTTCATGCACCCCCGGGCCAAGCCAAGAATATTCCTCTTCAATTTCCAATGAATCGAATTCCTTCTTCAGGTAATCGCAGCAATGGTAGGCTGATGCAGCTCTCAGAGTATACAATGACGGGAAATATTCTTTAGGGGGAAAATCTATCAGATGATCATTGAATGCAACCTTCAGCTCAATCAACTTATCGAAGCCTTTACTTGGAAGTGTTGGAAATTCGTTGTTGGCAAGATTCCTATCAAACAATCGAATAACATCAATCATAAATTATTTCATTTGTTATATTCGTGATGAGTAAAATTTTTAGGTCTGAGTTCCGAATTTTCTTTGTGAATTTCACTTGTGCCTTTCAGCTTTTCACTTTTATAAGACTGGGCTCCATTGATTTGTGTAAATGGAATGGATAGCTTAGTACTTACAAGTCGTTTAAGTTTGGTGTCGCTTCAAAAGCATCAGGATGTATTTCTACGATCGAGTTGTTACTCATATCTCTGCAATAAAGAAACATGAAGAAATAAATGATAGCATAAATTAGACTTACATACGCCTAGTTTTAATTAGGAAACCTAGGTTGGCATATCAGTAGCCTATCTATTCTTTGTTTTAGGAAGTTTTGCGACTTATTGTCCAGTACGTGTACTGTAAAAAAAAAATGGACCGCCGTCAATATTTCATACGTAATAAATCAAATTATGCTATGGTAGACGTCAGAAGTTTGTAAGCTCCACTTACAGGCCCAGTAACATCGGGAATGAACGTCTTTGTTTGCAGGTCAAGCGCTGAGGTGAAACACGAGTGTGAATCTTGGTCATCATTAAATATACTTCTAAATAAAATAGAATAGAGCTTTTTGTAACTTACAAGTATAAAAGATTATCCAATCCTTGTAAAGAGTTTCTTCGAATATGGGTGATCCTATTCTTGTTGAGAATCAAATCTTGTAAGTTATTCAGGTTTTTGAATGGCGAATTGTCTAACGACGATATTGCATTCTTCCCAAGATTTCTGAACGAACGAAACGAAACGAAAAAATGCAGGATTTTGTTATTTATGTTTATACCTGTATCAACATAGTGTTTGATATAGCATCTATACTCAGACTTGATTATCGAAGAAAGGTTGCAGATAAGACTGATGGAACGGAACCCTCAGGATGGAAATCTTATTCTTATGTTCTTCATTTTTAAGTGTTCATATCTTTCTCAAATTGATTAGAATTCTATGATTGGGGTGTCACAATAATTCAAATTATTATCAAATCAACGTCCTAAAATAATATTTCTTTGTTATGTCTAAAAGTACAGTTTCCTATCAATTTATTTCCAATCAATGATTGAAAAAAATCATTACTTATACACTGGAATTATTTATGTATTGACTGTAATTCTTAAGGGATTTTATGTTTTACTTTTATGAACTATCTTTAATCTTCATTCAATTTGAATCTGTTACAGAAACGTGTAAATGTTTGTTGTTATCATAAGCCGATTTGAATTCAATAACATCTTGAAATTTACGAAGTGAACTTTTATTTATCTTGCAAATATGAAAGCCATTTATTTATTTATTTATTTTTTATTTGAACCATATTTAATAAAGGTGATCCATCCAGTAGAAGCTGATCATTTGGGACCCTCAACATGTGACAAAACAAATTACTGAAAACATCTTAACTACCAATTTAAATTAGAATTAGAATATAAAATATAAAGCATTATCCATTCATTCATTCATTCATTTATTGGGTCAATATCAACATATACAAGGGAAAAAACAAATAAAACCACTTATAAAACCATTTAAAACAGTAATTCAATTTTTTTTTAAATATGTAAAATTCTTTAAGAAATATTTTAAAAATCGAAAAACGGGTTAAAAATTCCAAGATAAAAGGGTTACAAATTCAAAGATAAAAGGGTTAAAAATTAATGCAAATATCTGCACTTAAAATTAAAATAACTAAAAATTAGAATGTGACAATTATTGCAACAACCATAAGAATAAGTAAAAAATTAATAATATGCTAAAAATGAGTTTTCCCGTTTCGCATCAAACAAAATTAAATCAAAATATAAAAATATATACGATAAAATATGACAAAATATATATGATAGAATAAATCAATAAAGAAAAAAATAATAAAATAGTCAGAATAATTAGGTAATACAGTAATAGTTAAAAATAAAGAAATGAGATATTGACGAAAAAACGAGTTAAATCAAAGTAGTAACAAAATAATAAATAAAAAGGATTAAAACAGAAAAATAAATAAAAATCATACTAGCAACAGTATAATGTTAAATATAACAAGACACGTAGCTAAGTGTATTTTCGACGTATACCGGGCGAGAATAAAACACTCTAATTAAGTCAGCTCAAAATACTCACATAATCCTTAAACTCCTGCACCCAGACAGATCAGGTATAGATTTGATGTTATTATAATGTAATTCCCTGCATGAAATGACAATATATACATGTTCAGCAACAATAACAGCACAAACAACAATAATAAAAATAATAATAAATATTATTATCTTATCTTATCTTTGGAATCTATTACCTCTTTCTGTTCGACAATCTTCAAATTTAAACTCATTTAAAACTAATTTGAAAACTTTTTGTTTACAAAATTGCTTTAATTGGATTAATTGTTCACTGCGCTTTTGATAATGTTTTTTGAATTGGCGCGTTATAAATTTCTGCATATTATTATTATTATTATTATTATTATTATTATTATTATTATTATTATTATTATTACCATTATTATACAAATATTATTATAGTGATCATGATAATAATAACCAATAATAATACATTAATAATAATGTTAATTATAATAATAATAATAATAGGTTGACTTTATACTCATATTTATATTTTGATATATATTATCAATGTTTATTATTGTAAATGAGTAACAATTATAGCTTTCCAAAATTCCATAGCATTGTAAATATTTTATTTGTTGTTTAGGGAGCCGCATGACCTTCTGGGGACACTGCACATCCCCTTGTTGCGACCGTTTAGTTCCAATGCCAAATGAATGAAATTGTTAAAGTATTTTGCCATTCTATTTCATTTAAGAATATAAACAGTACAAATTAATGTAAAAAGATACATAGTTAACCGAGATGGTCAGCGGTTTGTCACATCGAACTTACAGGGTCTCGAGCTTTGTCATATTCTTACATAGGTCTTGTGGAATCTCTGAGAATCCGCAATTATCGATGACACTGTGGAAACACAAGACAAAAAGAAATGTGTAGGTGTAGAATGCCCAACATACTCAAGCACAGAACGTATAAATGTAGAGTGTTCAAGCTTATATCAATTAGAACATATGATGTTCAACTTAGGCCTAATTATTTCAATCAGAGTTTAATGTAAATCACAAAAATACTACTATACGACCATACAATTTAAGTTGCTTCTGGTGATACATGTTTAAAGACAATCTTATACACACAAGACAAAGGTATACCTGATAATAAAGCGCAACATAAAGTCTTTATTTTGATTATAATCAAGATGGACTTAAACTTACATAGTTTGCAGATTGTGAGTCCCATTCAAATTAGGAAAAGTGTGCATCTTTGTAGCCCTGGACAACCTCCTAGAATACAAATAAACAATACCACATGAACACTCCTTCAGCTTAATAATATAGATACAAAAAGAAGCCGCATCATCAATAGTCGCCATTGTAGGTCTTTATTAAGTGTCATTCGGCTCACCAATAATACCCAAAATTAAAAGCAGTTCTTATTAGAGCTATGATTAACTAATAGGCCTACAGATACATTCAATTAGGGGTGGAAAAAGCAGTCAATCAGCAAAAAGGCACACAAGCAGAGCAGCTGGGTATTCATATAGCTCCTCATCGGAGCTAAAAATTTGTAGAGCTATGATATTAAATAATTAGAAGTTTATCTTGTACAAAATTAAAATGTCTCTAAATTGAGAAAAAATACCTTTAAAATTGAAAAAAAAAATTGAATTCCTAGACGAGATTCGAACACGACCCTTGGTTAAATAGAACGCATCGTTCACCGACCGCGCCATCATGTATACGACGTGCACTATTAGTGGTAATGGAAGTATCTACAGTGTATTGGTAGCGCATTTCACAAAAAAAGATTTATTAATTAATTATTAATTAATCAACCAGCCGAGTACTTCTAGAGCTCCTCGTAATAAAAGAGAATTTTTCAAATAATTAGATTAAATAATTTGTACAGCATTAAATTGTCAAGACGTGATTCGAGCTCACGGCATTTGCCATCGCATGGAACCGCCGCACAAATGGCACGGTTAAACCGATTGCGCAATCCATTCGACGTGTATAGAGTGGTAATGGAAGAAATATACAGTGAATCAGCAAACAATGGCACAACAAGCAAGAAACCAGACGGATTTGCAGGGTACTCCTAGAGTTCCTCATTGGAACTAAAAATCCTGTCGATTGAATATTAATACATATCCTGTATTCCTTTGCATGGATCCTTAAATTGATTGTTTTTGTAGTCTGTAAATTAGCGAAACTATTTTTGTACGATCTGTTTCTTGTTGGAAGATACTTACTCATGTGATCCTTTAATATTAGCTATTGAGATTTTTAATTTATTTTGGGGGTTTTTCGATTAAGGTTTAATATGAAGTGAAGATATTTGGAATCAAGACCCTGGAAATGACGGCAGGTATCTTAACAGTTTTGGAAGGGCTGTCAAAGCACAAAGCACATTTTACCAGAATAGCACGATTTTTGTTACTAGAAAAGTACTTACAATACAGTCAACTTGGACAAGTTGATGAATGCACCATGGCCTATCATGATGATGTCGTTACCGTCTAAAACTATCTTAGCCAGATTCGAGTTATGCATGAATGCACCATCGGGAATGTACGGTATATGATTATGAGAGAGTTCTCTGAAATAAAGATATGTTGTCTAAGAATGTAATTTTATTTTGTCATATCACTACAGTATATTTACTAATATACTTCACGCTATGATAACGATAAAACTGTCAATACTATACTGTTGACTTCACGTTTTAGCTTTTGCCTGAACCCCTAATTCATTTAAATATATAAATAACTAGCTATAAGATGATTAATGATCTGCATTTTAACACTGTAGTTTAAATTGTTTATGAAATTTCTTTTCATACATAATTATGTAATACACCTATTGTAAATATAAACGAATTTAGTAGATGTACTTACAGCATTGTGAGTTTCTCTAGCGATTGAAGTGCAGCGGGGACATCTGTCAACAAATTGCCTTTCAATTCCCTTTCAAAGTAAAAGAAAATAGAAAATTAATAATTGTGGTTTGACAGGGGAGTACCGTGGGGGGGGGGTCGATGGGTGCGGTCGACCCCCCTTCCCCCCCTTTTTAAAGAAAGTGCCCTTTAAATATGCTCGCTTCACTCACAAATAACGCACCCCGCGAATTCTGAAAGCTTCGCTAAATTGCTCCAAGTTCACCTTGTCCCCTGCGCTTTCGTTTCGACCCCCCCTTAGATTTTTCACCGTACGCCCCTGTTTGATTTAGGCTGGGTTTTTGTTTTCGTTTTCTTGTGCATTTTTTATTATCTAACATATTCTATACTTACAGTTGTTGTAGATTTTTCATTCCGTTAAATGCTTTCTGACCAATGGTCTTGATTTGATTGGAGTCGAGACGTCTAGATTAGAAAAAAAGTAGACCAAAGGTCACAATAGGAAGTTATTGATTTTATATTAAAAGTGAAATACATTTAAGCAAAATAACAATTTGAGAAATATTTAAAAGAAATTGTTATTTCGAAGAGAAAGCGATTTTAATATTCGTCCAAATGTTTAGTAGTCATCGATGCGTAGGCCTATGTGACACTGAAACACGGAAACAATGAGATGTGAACATGGTTTTTGTATTCAAACTCACAAGAAAATTTGCGACCTTGGTATGCATTTGGTGTATTGGGCAACAGTGCATACTATCAACCGTATCTTCCCTCTCTCTCTTTCCCACCACCCAGCTGTATAATTCGGTACCTGGTACAATGTTGTTGCGGCATTCAGCTAGTTTATACCTCCATGGGAATTGTGAAATAGATTTGGTTGAGAATGAAAAGTATCAGAAACCAGAGTGCATTAATTCGGAACAAAGTTTCCGCGTGACCAAATCAGGCATGTCAATTGGTCAATCAACGAAAACATTTGTTTCAACATAATTTAGACTATTTCGGAAAAGTAAGTAACTGTAGAATGACAAAAATCAACAGAGAAATGAAAAGATTTGTTTACGATAAAACTCTTCCCCCATAAACCGGGACAAATGTGGCTGCGTTTGACGTAGCTCTTTTTCTTGCTTATTATTTTCACTCTAGGTTTACCACTGCTGACGTATGGGTTAGTAAATTTGTATATTTCTTACAGTGATTCCAGTCTTGCCAGACTACTGAAGGCATTGTCTTGGACGACTGTGATGTGGTTTCGTGACAGATCTAGTTGTTCCAGTCGTCTACACCTGCTCAGTGCTTCTTCGGGCACTTTAGTCAACCGATTTCCCTCAAGTCCAAGAGTCCGTAGGCTTGTTAAGTTTTTAAAAGCCCCCACCGGAATATCAACGATGGCATTGCCGTTCAAACTCCTGTAAATTGTCCCAAGAAATATTAGCATATGTTTAAGTATGTCACACGGTTACCTACAACGTAGTTTTTTTTTTCTTCAATTAAGCAATATACATGGTAAAAATCACTAAAGTTAATTAAACTACGTTCTTTAAACTTCCAAATTCAAAATTTGTAGAGCGCTAAAATATTAAAATGCAATTAGTGAATATCTGAATTAAAACAGTAATACATTGTTTTTACTCATAAAACAGTAAAAGGATTTAATTTTTTTGTTAAAATTACAGAAATATTACTGTTTATATTTTTGGCAAGAGTCAGTGAAAATTTTTTGTTATAATCTATGTCTTATTTGAAGTTAACATTAATTTTTTTTTAAATAAAGTGCTTTAATGAAATGTTTGGACTTTTACAAGAGCTATGTCTACTGTATATCATAATTATAATTTATGAAAAACACAACTACAACTACTTACAAGTGGATTAAGGAAGTTGGTCCAGAGTTCAAGGCATCATTGGGAAACGTCGTTAATATATTTCTTGACAAAAATCTGAAAATATGATTGATTATTATAATTAATATTATTATTATTATTATTATTATTAATATTATTATTACAAATATTTATGATAACAAAAATCATAATGATAACAATGAGGATGAGGATAATAACATTAACGATAAAGATACTGGAATGACGTTGACGTTGACAATGCCAATGACAATGATATTGAAAATATATTACTTAAATGTTTGCATAGATAAATGACAAACTAATTGTACTTTCGGTGCACCATGTGTAAGATGTTCTTATACATGGTGTACCAAAATGTTACGATTTTGTTAACAATGACAACAATAATAATAATAATAATAATAATAATAATAATAATAATAATAATAATAATAATAATAGTGAATATATTACAAATATTCTTCTGTTATTGCATTCGCACTGTTCAATAAAAAGCTGTTCTGTTAAATAAGGATATTATTTGAAATGAATGTTTTCATCCAATTTTTTTTGTATTCATTGACAAATGGATGGATACAAGTTTTTCTTCTTTCTTGTTTTTGGCTGTACTCATGAAAAATAGAGATATAAAATATATTACAATTCAAATACTTACAATTCTTCCAGTTGTGTCAGCGATTTGAATGAATCTTTGTCCAAATGACTAATATTATTGTCAGCCAGATGTCTAAATAGAGAGTAACTTGTTAATATTGCATTATATTATATTTTTTTTATCATAACTAAAGAGGCAGTTCGCCCTCCTCTCCACTTTTGCAAACGGAAAATATAGGGTGTTCCCGATGTTCGGTCATAGATTAAAGGATTAATTTTATGTTAAAATATTGTCAGTTTAAGAAAGTGGTTTTAAATTAGAGGTGGGTTTAGACGAGTCTAGAATTCGAGATCGAAATTAAGAAAAAGTATTCAACTAGAGATTGTTTCTTTATACATCATATGCAAAAAAAAATCGGCTTTCATCATCGATATTCTGGTTAATCTGACTAGGGCAGTTTTGCACTTGCCATCGGACAGCGAGTTATACGCCATAACAGGATGGAGACTGTGATGAGGATTATAAATGGAGTTGTTTTTTATTCATAAAAATATATCCTGTTTTGTCGCAAGATTTGAACCCATGGTCGAAGTCAATCCGGTTCACTTCATTAAGAAAATCAGATAGGGCTGCGAGTATTTAATGAGTAATATGTATCCCGTCATAAGACTCTCTTAATAGATTGTAAACTTTCGTTTAAAAGTAGGTCTCTAAAGGCCTGTTTATACTTTAACGATAACGATTTTTAAAAAAAAGCTAAAAAGCAATTGTTCATATAGAAAATAAAAGAAATGAGATTTTTTTACGCTATAGAACGATTCGATAACGATTGATCAGTTATGCGATAACAACATATTTTGAAAAATCAAATCAGATGACGTCCTCTTTTCTTCGTAAGGTTTCTTTGTATTTTGATTCGCTGTAATGTTTGATGTTTTAATGTGTTGCCGAATTTGGGGTTGGGTAAACCGGCTTTGCTACAGTGATTTGGTTCACTCTGGTTGTCCCTGGTCTCAGCTTTTTTTTTTTTTTTTTTTTTTTTGCCGCTCTATTTTTTTGTTGTTGTTGAAAATGACCAAATAAATAATGAAATGAAATGAAATAAAATCATGGAAAAACATTAAAATCGTAGTAGTAGCAACGATTTTATCATTTTGTATGATTATGACGTCATCTGCTTTGATTTGTTAAAATATTTTGTTATCGTATACATGATAAATCGCTATCAAATCGTCCTAGTGTACTAGTGTAAAACTTCTCTTATTTCTTTTGTTTTCTATATGAACAATGGCTTTTTAGCTTATTTATCGTTTTAGGTATCGTTGAAGTATAAACAGGCCTTAATACATAATTTTGTTGTAGAATAAGTGCACCATAATCGTCAGTCTGCCGTATCGTAGGCTTATACTACATTAATACAAACCTTTTAATTCTAATGAAAAATATGCTGAAGTGATAATAGTTCAAAGTAGCACCCACAAACCCTCGAATTTTGAGTTTTTAATTTACGAATGGTTATGCTCGCCTATCGTGTCTAGCCGCCGTGATATGCCGCAATAGCGAATAACCGCCAAATAATGATTTTGCTGTTTGCGCACTCTATAGTTTTTCATACAACTCAGTTACTGTGTGGCTAAAAGTAAATATTCAAAATGTCGAATGTTGTAAAACGAAAGACATAATGTGTCAATCATGCAGTAACTCTCAGTGTTAAAAAGAACAATTTGATTGGCTAATCTCCCAAAGTCACACGGGGCCAGCAATAGAACTTGTGAGATATTCTACTAAAGACGTTCTATTAGTCATCTTCTTTAGTTTCCTATTATCCTACGAGCCAACTACAAACGTAAAGCTTGATAGAAACGGAAGAGGCCAAGTTATGTTTTGCGTTAGACCATCGGTAGTTGATGCAAAGTGTCGTTGCTTAACGTTGTGCTTCAATTGTCAAGGTCACCTTTTGACCCACATAAAGTGTTTGATAAAACTTTAGGGCTGGTGCAGGATTAGCGAAAGGTGAATTGTATTTTGGAAGTTTTGCATCGAACATTTTTTCACATTTGACGGGATCTAAACAATTGTATTTTGTGTACCTTTCAAAAATTATCTTTCTCCATTGCAATGATTTAAATTACCATACAAATCACGATGTTATTATGGAAGTTATGTTTTTGAAATAGCTAACGTCTCATAATTCGGCTTCAGATATTTTTTTATATATTATATACTTTTTTGTTTTATGTGAAGAGCATATAAGCTTTTTGAATTATGCTGTATAAATATTACCTTATTATTATTATTATTATTATTATTATTATTATTATTATTATTATTATTATTACTATTATTATTATTATCGTTGTTGTTGTTGTTGTTTTTATTATTAATGAAATTCGCAATGAATTAAAAATAAAGATATGATGGCAGAAATAATTATAAAAGAAATTTAAATTACCAATCACAAAAACTATACTATCTATAAATATTTGTTTGAAAACGCAGACAGCAATGTTTATCTTCAAATTTTCCAATGTGTTCTGAATTGACCATTGAGGATGAATCAAATACTATAAACCTATCACTTACTGCCTTCGAGTGTGTAAATTAAGATTGATATACCAGTCATCTTTTCAGTTAGTAGATCAAGTCAACAAGGATAAAGCTGCATTCACCAAAGTTTGAACCTCGTTTACACACTGATTCTATTTTCTGATAGCTTTGGTAAGCTTTTCGACCCGAAAATTTAAATTCGGTGTGAATGTACCTTTAAAAATGGGTTTATAATTATGAGTTAATTTTATTCAATTTTCGACATAGTAGTTATTGTAAAATAAAGAAAGTTGTTGCCGCCCCTCTCCAAAGGTGAACACACAAAAATGAAATTAACTCAATAAGTATACCATTAATGATTAATACACATTGAGTTTAATATCATTTCATTCCTTGGAAACGTTACTATATTTATATACCAAAGTATATTCGGATCGTATAGTCATTTCCTCAGTTGGTTGCAAGTATGTCATATCTGTTTTGTGTAATAATAAACGAATGCTTTTGATAAAATCAAGAACATTAACCACACGTTATCCTGTAATAGTTTGAAATTATAACGAGTATCGACGTGGCCCGTGAGCTAAATGATAATAACATTACAATAGTAGGCCTACATATTGTTTAATTTACTTTTATTTGGTTATATAGTTCATCACTTAAGTATATTTCTTCATATTTTTATTCTTTTCTATCAAATCAAAAAAAGTCTTGTAAAAGTGTTTCAACTGGGTTTTTTTTGTTTTGATATTTTTTTTAAAGTTTCTGGTGACTCATATCCATGTAAGTCCCCATTGGAAATAATGGTAATCTATATAACCTGAGGTCACTGAAGCTTCTGTGCAAGATTATAAATGATCAAAATAGTAAGTTAACAACCTTATAAGGGCTTGATCCAAGCTAGCAACCGTTTCGAGCCAAATTTAAATCAAGTTCAGCCGATTCTACGACATGTCAATGAAATATGGCTTTAGGCCTAATAGTGGTTAAAAAGATAAGAGGACTTGAAAAAACGGGTTTTTACAAACTGTATACCTATTTATATGTTTTATTGATAGTAATTATCGATGTAGACGTCTTATAAATATACACTAAGCACATCCGTGATCAGTTTTTATTTCTTTCTTTGACATCATTTCTTATCATACAGAGTTCGCAGTATTTGACAGGCATTTCCCAGAGCGTCTCCAGCTGAACACTTTAATAAAGTGTTGTAAAAAGAAAATTGTCATAAAAAGTTGCATGTGGCTTAACGATACTCGTAATTTTGGCTTGTAAAAACATACAATTATATTCATGTGAATAATATAACTTGTGTAATTGAAGATGCACACACCCAACGACACAGTGGTCCAGTGCGAGTTCTTTTTAGGACCACACAGATACAACCCCATGCTATTCATCGATATCAATTACTCCTTGTAACTTATTTCACTAATATCACAAATCTTTTTGCACGTGAGATAAATTCCATTGACTATTGTTTTGTTTTCATTGTTTTTTTTATATAATGTATAGTCATATCTTTAAAGGGCAAAGAAGAGGAATCGCCCAACCCAGGATCTCACCGACCATACACATCTAGATGTGTATAAGAGACAGGGCCTGTTTATACTTTAACGATAACGA